GAAACAAAGTGAGATTGATATGCGCTATCGAAGCTCCATATATGACTTGGTACTCAAAGGAAGAACAATAATTGTAATAGTACTGTTTCGTTTGATGGTCACCATTCACTTGACATGTGTGAGTAAGCGCTGTTTGCAAGTTTTGTTTTCTAACTCTTTGACATTTTTCAAGTTTGACCATAGATTGGTATCATTGGGGACAGATACTCGCCAAATACATTGTTGTATGGATGCACGTGAATCACCAACTGCTTTATAGAGATTATATTTCATGTAATAGACTTTAAGTCGAACTGATAGAGATCGCCTTCGCAATGAATACAGGGCTAGCAAAACTCATTCCGGAGAAGTCAGATCAAACTTCGATTGCTTCGAGGGAACGCATTCCTTAAAGATAATGTGAAGTATTCGAATTCCTGATCAGCCTAATAATGAATTCACTGGAGATGAACACACTCCCAGCCACCGTCTAGAGTTAATGCACACAGCGCCCGATCATGTGAGTTCCCGACTCGTCTATTTGCAGGTACACACTTTCCAGTACAGTGATCGTGTTTGTCTCTCAGACTGCTGATGCAGGAGTTCGCTAATCACATTGCAGGAAATATGAATGGCCAGCAGATTCAACACTCCATTCAAAGCCACTCAGACTCCCTCAACACAAGTCAGGTCGACGGTGAAACAGCGACTAATTCTCCAATCAAATCCTCATGAGAATCGCTGAGCAGAAATTTGTGTGTGTGCCAGCATCAGTCACTAGGTGACTTCATCGAATATCAACCAATGCATAATGAATTTATTTTGACTAACGTCATGCGCTAACATCGTCATGATGGAAGCCTACACGCAATTCATTAGTCGGAAGCTGAAACTTCAGAGAAAATCAGTGTGATGTGAAACCAAGAGGATATTCGCACACTACTTCTTATCGATGTACACGATTGTGACCTACACGCCGAGAATACTGGGACACGAAAACAAAGTGCTGAATGTTGTTAATATAACTGAACATTTATTTTCGTAATTTACATTAAAGTGGATTTGTGAATAATCAGAATGAAAAGCATTCACAGAATGGGATAGGTGACGTCTTGAGCAAATCAATTGTCCCGTTTCTCCACATCATTCCTCATCTTCTTCTCAGATCATCCCACCTGTCAGTGTGGAAATGGAAAAGAAGAGAAAATGAAAGTGGACGGAATTCACGTCTGCTAAAAATGTTAAACAGACACTGCACATATCTACACATTTCTCACTCAAATGTGACTGAAATGTGTGCAACTTATTGAAACGTGTGGAAATGTGAAATGTCATATCCCATAGGATTACCCTGATGGAGGCTTGGTTATTTGAGTGAAGGTTGAATGAGAAATCATTCACGACAAAGTAACTCATCACATGATATCATTGCACAACACAGAATAGCACAGAAAAGCATAACACGGCATAGCATAGCATAGCATAACCACTTACATAGTGGCATCGGGGACACTTTGATGCAGGTGGTGGAAGTTGTCGACGAAGCTCCTGAAAAATCAGAAACACTCTATCAATACAAATCATTCTTCACATCAACATTGACGCCATTCACATTTCAAATTACATTCCACAGCCGAATAAACACTCTCTCCATCACTCCACAAATGACACATCAAATTCTCTATATCTCCTATGCGAATCAGAATCGAGCCTATATTTCCTTCATTTGAATTCAACACCCCAATCCATACGGAACTTATAAGACACATCGATGAAATCTCTTCCGCTCCTCACTCCCTTCATTTCTACCTTCGTGAACCACTTCCTTATTTCTCTCCTCATATGAGCAAATGAAATCGTGCATCCATATCCCCACAAGTGTGAACATACCACTCACTCTGCAAAATTCAAGCACACTCAGCAATATTTCACGTCGGGTCAAAGAATCACACAAATCATGACAAATATCACATATCACAGTTGTTTGTTATCTGGCCTTACTGAATCACTCGACTAGCTGAATTCCCACTCAATCAAATCTGTGCGATTTCCTCTATTCTCCTTGTTTTACCGATTGTATTATTGTATTTCCCTGTGTCTCCAAATGCACTCAGGCTCAATTTCAATCTCCTTCTTGACGGAAGCCTCAGCTGATGATGAAGAAGAAGATGATGTTGGTGATGATGATGATGTTGATAGTGGTGATAATCGTGTTAGCGTATTCAACTCAAAGTCGTTGTGATTGTAAATGTGGATGGAGAGACTAGTTTAAGGAATCATAAAACTCACCGCATCGGATAGACTTCTCAACTGAATTGAATAAGAAATAATTGAAGGCAATGAAGACAAGTTGAGAATTACTGAAAACGCAATATTCACTGTCACACGCGGACTCAATTCAACCGAACTGCTGTCTCTAATTGGCTAATAGCGAGAAACGAATACTCTCTGTTCGTGCACATTCTCAATCCGACTAGCCATCACTCAACATCTTCACTGGTATTCATATTTCGTCGCCACAGAGATCAACGGAGAAGGCATTCTTTACTGCTTAGACGAGTGATGTGAACGACATGATGTGAAGGCGGTGTCAGCTGTCACAAACACACACTTGTCATTTCTCACAGCCACTTCACAGAACACAGTTGGACAATTCCAGTCAGTAGATCATCTCCCACAACCAGTTATCATTCTCACTCACAGGGTCAGTTGAACACTCATGAAGAGTATTGAGTCGACAATGGAAATGTTTCGAGGTGAAATGATTTCCACCATCGTGAATCACCTTCAGACACCTACTCTCGGCTCATCATTATTGGTGGTAATGTACCGATGTATTACACTATCAAATGAAACTAGGTGTAATTCTGACTTCATGGAGCAGCATATAAGCCGTCAGGGAGTGAATCACTTTGGATTCGTCGAGAGACAAACATCACAAACGTGGAGATTTCCAATGATTTCCAGTGTTTCAGAGTTCACATCTAGTCCGTCTTCACAAATATTGAATATTCTCTGAATACACACTGAATCTCAATGTCTGTTCTCAATGCAAACAACTTCGATTCATACACACCATCACACGCGTCAACTTCGCTGGTAAATCAGAGGAATCTGATGATATAGATTTCTGGCAGTACACACAACAAGTATCACAGCTGAATGTTCGCTAAATTCAAAATTTCACTCATGAGAATTACTTATCAGGAATCGCTTCAAAGTACAAAATCTGATAGGTGAGGCTGAATTCTGCAATTTCACATGAACGAATTCCGTCGGATTCTCCATCCACTGAATTAACATCCATCCATCCATGTGAATGCAATACACGTCAGTTTCCGGACAATCCAGATATCAGTGCAAATCACAGCTCCATTTCGACTCTCGTCAGTGCTTAACTCGTTCAGCTGGTCGTTGAATCATTCAATGCTCGAAACAACACGCATTCGACAAACATGCGGGTGATGCAAATAACGAGGCGGTTAAGTGAAGCAGCACAAATGTCTGTTTGTTACTTACGCATGAACATTGAACCGTCGCATACCCCTGAGTATACGTGAAAGATCTATAGTGGGATTGCCACTGAGGTGCCTAGAGGGGAGCAGAGAACAGCATAAAATAAACAGAGATGATGTTTGCATTTGTGAGTGAACTTTTCTCCTCAACTCACCTGCCTCTGTGCATAGTCTGTGTGTTAGAATGCATTGCAAGGTGACCATGTGGTGTGCCTGTGTGGATTCATTATCAAGAAATCATTTCGCATCACTGACATGCTAGTTCGATACAGCATATACACATCTGACATCATCATTAGCAAGCAAACCGTCGTGCGAGTGACAGCGGATAATTGAGTGTCAGGTGAGTGGAACACTTCATTTCTACTGGAATGCAGTTTGCGAGTCGTTGAATCCACAGTGCGCAGATAAGCGGAATCAATACAATCACAGCTTTTATTTTCACAAGTGATGAAGGCAAGATTGAGTGAGAGACAGAGAGAGAGTTTGGAGATTTTTGGTTAAAGCAGGACATCTTTTTTTCAATTTCATGCGTCTTCTGACACAATTTTTAACATGCGATCATGAACATTGTATTCACAATGCATCAATGATTTCTATCCATCCCGAACTTCATCTTTGCTCAATGAAACATAACAGCGATAATAGCACGTCATCAACATTTCACTGCAGCTATCAATTATGCTCATGTTAACAAAGAAGGAGGAATTATTCCAGAATAAATATTCTGGATTCTCTCAGATGTATGAGTCAGCGACACACAAGCACACCATCGCACACACTCAGGGATCGGCGGAGAGCCTAGTGAATCTGACAGTGCAAGACACAACAACATGCTACATGGCTTATCCAAACAACCACTGAATACGTGTCTAACATCACCTGCGACACACATCAACATGAACAACTGACTTACCGGCATGTCTGCGCCAACTGAAAGTATTCAAGGAAACAGTGACTATTATCAAATAAGAGGAGAAGAGAAGAGATAAGAGCAGATTTGTACGTTCACGACGAACAACGAACATTTCGTGGTGGAAAATCAATTTGTGGAAATTGAAAGCACTTCGAATTCACTGGTGACAAGAGATGAAGCTGCACGTTCTCACAGCACCAAATCAACATCCATTTGTCTCCACCATAACGCTCGTGAACAGTTAGCATCTTGAACAGGCACACATTTGATGAGTTTGTGTCACGTGAACCTCAGAGCAGCACGCACAATCCACATGGTATATTGATCATCTCCAATGTCTATGAAAATACATGAGATCTCCATGTGTGTGTCTGTGTGTCGGATAAGTGTCGACGCACTCGGAGTAGTTTCGCGAATTCGCAGACTATTATGTCAACAAATGCCGCTCATTCTCCTGAAACAACAAATTCCATTTTTCCGTCAAATCAAACACACATGTTTCTGACAAGTCATTCCAACATATATTCCCCATGATTCCTCAATGAACATGTTTGAATTTCGACCACGTGAAGGCAAACGTAGCGCACTATAGTGCCGATTATGCATGAATGAGAAGATAACCAGTGAGACCCAACGTCCTCGTCAAATATACTCTTCTGAGAATCTCAGTCAATGACATTCCACACAAACAACTGCGGTAAAGTGAATCCATTGCAACAGTTACACAAAATGAAATGAGAGTACAACCAACCTTGTACCACACATGCAGACACACATAGAGAAAAGAGACTGAATATTCGTGTGACTCGACATCAGATTGTCAGGCGAATGATAATATATACCGTCGACTTACCTTGAATTCCACTTGTCGACAGAAGAACGAAACAGAGGAGTAATGACCAGGAAGACATTGTATGAAGCACTGTATGAAGCAGAGTAATGCACGAGTTTGACATGAAGCCGACATGGATCTCCTTTTATACACTCGTAATCTGTGTCATCACAGTTCGTGTCTGTGTCTGTGACTGTCAACACTGACTGTCTGTCACAGAGTTGACCAGTCGTAATGTTAGTCAGTTTCCACCAATCAGTGTTCTTTTTGAAGTGTTGTGTTGTAACCAATGCAATGTGAGAGGAGCATCAGTGCGTTCAATTCCAAATGCTCTTATTCACTCACTCACTCACACACTCATTCTCTGATTGGTGGAGATTCAATCTTCACAAAATCAGTCAGCCAATCGCCTGAATGTAGACACACATCGACTGCCCCTTCCCTATTTATCAAGCCACCTTGCCTTGTTTCACTTCATTGAACCGTGTGTGCAATGACTCACTCACGAATCTGTAGACAGTGACTTGTCACCCTTCGGATCCATGCGTGTTCATTGGTGCATGAGCAGCTATTTGAGCAGTCGATTTGTCAGTGGGAAGGTCGCGATGACCAGAGACATCTGAATACACGATAATCAGGGAGAAATGACGACTTGAAGAGATGAGTGCATGAGTGCGTCACTCACACAGAACATCCGTCGAACATGTCGAAATCACTTCGTACGCATAGCAAGTGATCAGACTGAATGGTGTCGAGATCCAACAGACCACCTGTACAGATGTCATCTCACAAAAGGCATTATTCACCAACAGGTTGTCACTATCAGTGTGGCTTGAAATTGCTAATCACGGCGTCGGTTGGGGCATCACACATACCTGAGAGCATGTGAAAATAAGGAATTCATACCCACGTAATGACTGAAAACACTCAGAAATCACACCATCTGTTGAGAGAGGGAATCATGATGTCCTGCAACAGTCAATGTCTCAGCCACGTGATGAATTTTATCATCCTCTCAATCACAAATTCCACCTGACGTGTGTCAACAGAAAGCGAGCATCTCCACCTCACTGATAGTTTCAGCATTTCACTCTCCAGCTAGACTGTGTTGTATATAAATTCGACTGTGTCGTTCACTCTAGCTGTTGTCCGATAATCCAGGTGTCTGATAGGTTGTCTTCTTTGCCTGAGACTTGTCAAAATGTGTATGCTGCCTAACAAGGTGCCAAGTTGCCTACAACAACCAACATCGAACGCCATGCGTTCACGACACTATCAGATTCATGCCTGTCTCTATATCGATCGTGGAATGGTTCACAATTTGAATTTCAGAGGTCATCAGATTATAAGTGAGAGCATACAGTATAATAAACTGGCTCCACTCAGGTTACATGGTTCACGCACGAATCACTCATCATTTCTCAATCGAAACAGCATACTGCCGTGAATATTCTGACTTCCAACTATTCAGATCACACACACAAACGAGCATTTCCAGCCATCATGAAAATTCAAATGATTATTCTATTCCAACAGTTACACGTCGAACAGATCATTCGTTGTCCATTTTAGAATAACACCACATTTCACGAAATAAGTAGTGACTCCAAGCACCTGGCGCGTCCATTCGAATTGATGGCTTTAGTTATGCCATTCTTTTATAGGTTGATTAATATCCGCTGGCTTTCACAATTACATAACTGGAATTGACTTACTCCAATGTGGACACCAGAAATTCAGAGCATGTGAAACATAGAATACATGCTTATTGTCCTCTGACATTCAGTAGAGTTTCACTGAACATCAAAAAGAAAATATCGTGTATGAAGCATCAGATTGTGACTGTCTGGGTAGAAAAACTCAAACGAACACATATATAACTCATAATCACGATATGGTTCACACTGAACCGACTACCATATGTGAATCATCTGGCATAACAACAAGGCTCTTCCAGTGGATAATGCACTCAAGTCAAATGAAATGACACTCGGAATCTACGCTGATTCATACAAGCGATTATCATCCATCGCATCTAGTGATGAATCGACAAGGCGTTATCTGCATCGTCTACAACATCGATTATCTCACTTTCACCAATTCATATGTTCATCAATAATCAAGGAGAATGAAATCTCCTGAGAGGTCCCACGATCATGAAACACAAGATTTTCATCAAACCACCTGAATACTTACTTACAATATATTTTCAAAGACTAACAAATGATTTCCACTCAGATAATCGACAATGAGTAAATCAACTCCCAGTGAGCCTCACCTAATTGCATGAAATCACCTCCAAATATGTTCTGTTAATTTCAATATCATTAGAATCCAATAATTACACAAACCAGCCTACGCTTTCTCAGTCGACCTCGTTGGAATCACCTAATCAGACAGAAATAGGTCATTCTCATTGTCTGTGTACCAAAACAAACGATGTATGGATCTCTAATGTTTAATTGTCGATGAGGCTCACATCATTACTCTTCACATTCTTCCGACTTAATTGCACAAGTGGTTATACACAAATGCGATCAGTGGCACAATTGATTACTGAGAGGAATGAGAGTAGAGATAAATCTGCTTGTAATTGAATTGAACAATTATGTCGGCAGAATGTGAATTGTAATTATCTGAGAATTATCGCAATTAAACATCAGAGATCTATTTATCGTTTGTTTTGGTACACAGATAATGAGAATGACCTATTTTTGTCTGATTAGGTGATTCCGACGAGGTCGACTGATAAGCGTAGGCTGGTTGGCGTAACTATTAGATTCTGATGATATTGAAATTAACAGAACACATTTGGAAATGATTTCATGCAATTAGGTGAGGCTCACTGGGAGTTGATTTACCCATTGTTGATGGATGACAATATTCGCTTGTATGAATGAATCAGCGTATATTTCTGTATATTTTTGTTATTTCGTGTTTGTCAAACTGAATGGGTTGTTCAGAAATTCAAGCCCTCATCTTCTTGCGTCAAATGTGTGTTTTGTCACATGATTTATACCATTTCACTACTGGACTAACTCCCAACCTATCGATTTCTATTTGCCTTATGCTCAATGACAGTTAATTGTCTCGTTTTTTGAATATTTATTCGACAACAGTTTGTTATCTGGTTGAATACATGGAAGAATTCCTAGTTGCTTATACTTTGTGGTTATCTGATCTTCCAATACACCTCAAATCTGATCAGATTCTCGCAAAGTCGGTATATGATTCTTCATGTCGACGCTTCATTTTAGATTTATCTCTGAAACTTATTTATTGTAGACTTTGTGTAAGGAGGATTCTTCAGAAATGCACTGTAAGCCAGCTTTTAATTCGTAATCTAAAAAACCAGTTGAGGATGATAACATTTTTTATTCCATGTATGTCTTGTTGAATGCTTCAGGACTGGAGAATTTCTTAAGTGAGAAATGCTTGTGTTGAAATTTTAGCAGAATATTGTTCTCTTTTATTCGTTGGATAGTCGGACTAACAGCAGGATTTAATCAGTGTCCTTTTGTCCTACTTGCGACTCATCGTCTAGATTTACCTGAATCCTTGTGAGGATTGGCATCCCCACTGCAACTCGAGATGCTTATCGATTGTTCTAAATGCTGAGTGTTATCCACTAGGTTAGTAAATCATAATAGTGACTTCTTCGAATCGTAAATGTGATGAGTGTTCATTCCGGAATTCATCCGGCTCTGTATACTGTCTAACAAGTGAAATAAAATTAACCACCAACAGTTTGATTGATTACCAATACTTGAATATCGATGAGATGCTCGCTGCCTACTGGCCCGTTTCAGGTATGTAGCTACCTGGGTTCTAGTGTGAAGTCGTGACCAGTAGGGTGCAGCAGGTCGGATGTGAGGACAAATACTAGCCAGCGAAGACATTGGCTAGCGGTTGTGCTATGTCGTGAATTGGTAGAAGTTAGAATTCATGGGCTGGTCATTGGATTGGGTCCCAGCGGCCTAATGATCTATAAGCTCGCTAGCCTTGTAGCCAGAAGGTCCTGGGTTCGAACCCTGTCAGCGGGTGCGTACTGATGAGGAATCCTAAACTAGGCTGACGAAACAGCTCTCAGGTTTTCCAATGGTTCTCTAACCAATTTCAGCTCATAATGAAATCCAGTACGCAATCAATGAAATCCTAACAAACCAATACTTGAAAACTGATATAATTGGAAATTCACAATTTTCAGGATATATATTCTGGGTTTTACTTGAGATACAAATGTCTAATAATCAGATTTTGTTCCTGTCGTTGACACTAACAAACACCTAATGGGTGTTATAATAACAGAAAGTTTAAAGGAAATATTTCCCCTAATTTTCTCCTTGTAGAATACAGAAATCATTCACCAGAAGATAACAGTTCCATTATTCTGAGTCCCAGGTGGAACACTGAATAGGCGTTTTAAAACTTGGCCTCTAACTTTTCAGTAACCATGATGTTATTTGTTTGACAACAAAGTGGATTTATCAGTCTGATGCCTAATCTTCGTGATTTATCGAACTTTTGACCTGGTGAGGGAGCTTTAGGAGGATCGTGTCAGCCTTGAAACAAACGTAGACCATGCGCGTTGTCGTTGGCCAGCATTCCACCACTTAACCTCCAGAAAAATAAAAGTATGCGTCGGTGGCATGGCGGTTAGGACGCTCGCCGACTATGCTCATGGTCCGGGGTTCGATCCCCGGCCGACGCACTCCTCTACCTCACTAAGCCAGTAATAAGACTGGTAAAGAAGGAAAGTTGGGCATGAGGCTAGCAACCCCATCCCGTAAAAATAAACTCTGCTTCAGAAACTTCAAGCCTATAGCTCGAAGCCCTATGTTCCACTGGGAACGTAAAGGAATAAATAAAACCTCAAAACAAGCTAAGTTTTGTAATTTGAAGGTCCTAGGCTTTCTCTTACTGTTTGAGTTGTGGGTGAGCACTTTGATGATTCGCAAAACAGGACGAAACAGATGTGCAACTCTTGTATCTTACCTATTCTGCTGTACTGGTCCTCGTTAGTCTTTCCTGGGCTACTGAAAAAGGACTACACCACATCCTGAGAAGGATGTTGAAGATAGTAGGACTAGTGGTGTGATACGCAT